TCAATCGCCGACACCTATCGCTACTTCTTTTTGATATGGTCTCCAGCATGCATCGTTTTGTAGTTTGTCAACTCTGAGAAAGAAATTATTTGTGCTTTGGTCGTTAAAGTCCGATTCTATTCCTTGAGCAAGGAGCCATGCAAAAAATTCAACTGCAAAAACTTTTCTTGGATCATAAATTCCGAAGAACTTGTCATATATATCTCCTGAATCTCCATCCTCAACCTTAACATCATTCATTTTAGTTCTCTTAGTAAGATGACCAAGTTTTATCCTTTTCATAATAACGATAAGGTATTTAATGTTAGTATTTACATATAGAGAAAAAATTTCACACGTATGTTTCTTTATATACCAAATACCATATTTAAGTATTTCGGGGTAATATATAAAACAAGATTTTTGAGACCTGAAACAGGAAGTGAATATATAAAAATGCAACTGGGGGTGGGAATCTCGATAATCGAAGTACAGTACTGTAAAAATGATCTGATGTATTTAATCATGTGATCTGTGATGGTTGTAAGTCATGAATGAAAAAATTACTTGTCATATGACAAGATGTCATTTATTTTAAATGATAGAAATAATTTGGACGCTAATACATTCTTTCATTTTTCGTAGGAATATATTACTTCTAAATGAAATATTCAATTTTTTATTATAGCCACTAAATTGGAAAGTCGTTTTTAATAATTTATATGGGATAATTTCCCATGAAAAATAATGATGTATATTGAGTACACCAAATTTATTTGTTTTTACACAACTTCAAGCGAAAGAATTATAATCTAAATTATGCTAAATAGTTTCAAGTAATTCTAAAGTAAAACCCACAGTCTTTTCTATATGTATAATAGTATAAGGTAACGAGAGGTCAAATTATTGTTCGTTGAAGAAACAGCTAAATGAAATATTTTGGATAAACACCAAGAAAACGCAGAAACAATATTTAGAAATTGAATTAAGAAAAAAAAACACAGACAATCGATAAAAAAGTTACCACTGGGAAAAAA